CCCAGGCTCCCCTGGGCTCTTCTTCCATAGAGGACTAGGCTTGAGAATGAGGAATCCAGCAGTACGTCCTGACACTCAAAGCATTAAGGATACAAAGCCTGTTCCAAAGGCCACTATGGATGAAGGATAGCTGTCCTCAGCTCAGTCCCTGGCTAGATGCATTGCTTTCACAAAGCCTTCCTCCAGCCTTCCCAGTGCTGCCGGGTCAGCCAAGCTGGAGTCTGTCCTTCCTCTGCCCAGCCTGCATAAGAGCAGACTAAAGGAAGATCCCTCAGCATATCAGTCCCTCAAATGGCCTGTCACGGGGCGAAGGTGACTTGTTCCAGGAGCACTTCCCTGCAGAGCTGCTCTCCCACTGTCCACCCCTTGCCCAGGACCAGCAAGGCTTGGTGCTGGGGGTGTCCTTCCACAGACAGAGCTGATCCTTCCTCCAGCCGTACATCTGACTGGCCCTGCAGAGCAACAGCTGCGGGGCTGGGACACAGCAGAAAAAGCATGCGGAGTTGTGTGTACTTTGGGGATGCTGCGGTATGAAGGAAGATCTGGTTTTATTTATCTGCTTGGGGTTTAGAAGCCTGCTCAAGGATTAAACAGGTCTGGGGATGGGGGATGTTTTCTGTGCAGAGCACAGAGGATGGCATTAGCCAGCGTGGTCTGAGCTGCAGTGGATGAGAACTGTGTTTCTTAAGGACTTGCCCTGTGCCCCGTCCGCTCTCATGGCGAGGCCACACGCTGCGTATCAGGTGAGCGAAGGACATCAGCAGGGGCAGGTGGGACCAAGGCTGCAGGCACCATGTGGACTAGAAGAGCCAGTGCAGGGAGTCAGCAGAGAAGAGAGGTGGTCTGGGAATTTGGTGCATTGCACGGACCAAGTGTTTCTCTTCACTGGTGGGAGCTGGAGGGAGAGGCAGGCACGGGAAACCTGCCAAGATGCCTCCAGGCACGAGATGTGTGCTTGGGAGCGCAGGGCCTGGCTTCCTCGTGCTAGTCTGACGCAAAGTCTGGGCCACTGGGTGAATTCCTTGTCAGGGAGTCCTGGCACTGACCTGAAGCAACTGCGACGGTGGGTGCAGGGCCATGCTGCACCCCAGGGGCCATGTGTTCCCCCATCGTGCATTGTGTTGTCGTTTGTTTGTTTTTATAAATGCCATTTGGCAATAAAATCTGGTGGTTCTTTTCCACATCAGCCCCGACTGCTGTGTCTCATCATCCTGGCTGTGCTGAGTGGTGCTGCCACAGTGCCGTGTTTCCACGTGTAGGCACCAAACGCAACTGAACAGTGGCTTCATCCTCTACCAGCATAGTCAACCTTTAGTTAAAAAGTAATTTACACAAGAGTATTACCTATGAACAAGTGGTATTTTGAGCTCATTGCCCCTCTGTGCCCTTGGTTTGTGGCAGGGTCTGCTGGTGTCACCCCCTCACTTCTGTTGGGTGGGCACAAGGTACGAGCAGCAGTGCCCAGTGCACAGGGGGGTGGATTCATCTTCTCCGCTACAGCAGCCTGTGAGCCAAAAATACCAAACCACTGGGAAGTGATTTCCCTTCCCCAGCTGCAGGGTTTTTTATGCTGATGCGTACGTGGCATCACCTGCTTTGAGCCCACCCTGCTGGCAACTCAACCCCAGGGGACCGCTGGCTCCCTCCTGCCCCCTGCCCCCTCGCTGGGATGGGGAGGAGAAAATGGAATGAAAGGCTGGAGGGTTGAGACTAAGGACAGGGAGGGTTCACTCACCAATTACAGACACAAGTAAAAAACAGTCGACTTTGGGAAAAAACATAATTTAACCAACAAAGCCACCAGCAATTTACCAATCAGATCAGAGTAAGATAATGCGAAAATAAAACCAGACCTGAGAAGCACCTTTCCCCTGTCCCTCCCTTCTTCCCAGGTTCAGCTCTCTTCCAGATTTCTCTACCTCATCCCCAGAAGAGTGTGGGGACTCATTCCTCCTCGGGGAGGAGTCCTCATACTCTTTTCTTGCTCCACCGTGGCATCCCTCCCATGGCACAGTCCTCCACCAGCTTCTGCAACGTGCGTCCTTGCCAAGGGGCTGCAGCTCCTCTCGATCTGTTCCAGCACGGGTCCCCCCAACAGGGCGCAGACCTCCCAGCGATGGGTGGCTCTGCTTCCCTCGGAGTCACAGCCACCGCTGGGCACAGTGCCCTGCTCCAGCGTGGGCTCCTCGGCGGCTGCAGGTGGGTGTCTGCTCCGCCGTCAGCCTCCACGGGCTGCCGGGGAATCTGGGCTCTGGCACTGCTCCCCCCTCCTACACTGACCTTGCTGTCTGCAGAGTTGTTCTTCTCACAACCCCTTCCTCTCCAAACCAAAACAAATTGTCCGTCTCAAATATATTTATTGCAGAAGCACTGATTGGCTTGGCCTTGGCAGAGGGGGGACCCTCTAGAAGCTTCTCAGAAAATCAGAGTTACTCTTGGAAAATCAGAGTAAGGTGTTCACTACGCCAGGACCACCAGGTCTGCTGCACCCAAACACAAATCACAGAGCAGTGCTGAAGCTCAGTTCTCTGAGCTACTCACACGGTACTCATTGGTGTTAGGTAGGAGGAAGACCTTTTTTTTCCCAAGTCCAGTTTCTTGAAGTCAATCAGCTTTCAGGTTTAGAGCTGTGGAATCCCTGTTCACTCACATGTGGACGAAGCGCTGTGTTCTTCCCTGGAAAGAGCCTCTCCGCAGCCCCGGGGGCTGGCAGTCGTCCCGCGGCTGGGTTGGGTTGTTGGCTCTGCCCGTGTCCCGGACGATGCAGAAGGGTGTTGCTGGAGGTGGCCTTGATCTGGCCGGGAGGCTGGCCTGGCTGGGACCCGAGAGGACTAGTTTGCCTTGCTTTTGCTTTCAGATGGCTGTGCATCCCAGCCTTTCATCATGTGTCTGATACGGCAGAAACTGGGTCCTCTCCTCACATCCCATAGCCTGGCCCACCCTGCTCCTCTGGTGACTCCCTCGGCTTCACTTGATATTATTTGCAGCAAGTCAAATGTCTGGAGAAGCTCTGGGGACGTTGCCACTTGTAGGCTTCAGGGTTGGCCCTTTCCAGATTCACTAATGAGCAGAAGAGGTTTTTTCAAACCCAAAATGCAAACCTGATCCATGGGCTTTCCAGGCCACAGAGAAAAAGTCCTGAGAGGAGCAGTGGCCAGGATCAGTCACAGACTGACCGGGGCTATTTTGCTTTTCTCCTGGGGAGCCTTGGCAAGACGATGGAAAGCAAGAGGGACTGGATGGTCCTGACACTAGTGATTCAGTTCTCCCTGACTGGAGCCAGTGCAAGCTGTCTCTGGCTGCTGGCTGCCTGGCCTGGACCATCAAGCCCAAGGACCCTCTCTCCCCAACACCTGTACCAGCACAGAGCATTTTCCTGCCTTGAAGTGGTTGGGGCCCCTGCTGGAGGGCATGCAGTCCCAGCCCGTGGCTCACTGCGCCAGCTTAGGGGACACAGGGGAATGTCACTCTGCAGCCAGGTCCAAACCACCTTGCCCAGCACTGGTGATGGCTTGTCGTACCCAAATATTTCCTCTATGGAGTCAGGTAGTGGTCTGGGAATACTGACTGGGTGAGTTTCAGTAAATTGTTCTTCGTGTTCTTTTAATCCCTCTAACAGTGGTCTCCTTCGCAGAGGAAATTTAAATGTCAAAGGTTTCTGTGTAGCAAGAGGAGAAGATACAGGGGAACAGAGAAAGGAGGAGATTCAGCACTTTTAGCTGGGTTAAAGCTGAGGAAGTGAGCATCAGCTTGTACGTCTCTGCAGGAGTCTGTGCTTCTGCAGAGCTGTCTGGGACAGCTCCTTGGGCTTCTCTCTGAAAAGCTGCTCACGGACAAACAGCACCAGTGGCTCACCGAGTGAGACACAGCTGGATGCTGTGGGACCCTGCTCCGGCTCCTGCTGAGGGCACATCAGTCTGGCTGGGAGGAGGATTAAAACAAAACAGAGCTCCAGGAGGTGGGACTTCCAATGTGTGCTTCTCTGCTCAGACCTGCACCTTCTCACGTGCCTGAAAAGAAGAGAGCAGGGACAGGGAGATGCAAAACCTCAGGTTTGTTTCTCAGCACATCGCTGACCTGCTGTGGTGTGCTGGTTGAGGGGCCTCTTTGCTTTTCTGCCCTCCAAGCTGCCCTTGCTACACATCTGTGCAGTCAGTAGTGGGATAAAGCCCGCACTGTGAGGAACAAAACACAAATAAATACTCTGCTTCCACTCCCCCCTGCAGTGAGGGGTTAGCACTAGACCTTCCTCCCTGCATCACTGTGGGGAAGATGCATGAGCAGGAGTCCAGGAGGAAGAGTCCCTTTAGCCAGTTCTGCTATTAGTCAAATTCAACATCAGGTGAACTGCCCGGACTCCCTCTATCTCCCAGCAGATAGCTCATCTTCAGATGCTACTGGAAATCAGGTGAAATGGAAGATGCTGGCACCTGCTGGTGATTTACACAATGTCCACTTTTGCAAGGCTTGACTTGGGGCTAACAGTGTCTTGGTACCACACGTGTTGCTGGACAGACTGCTTTGTATCCAGCTCTTGGTCCACAGCAGCTAAAGAATATTTAGAAATGTGCCCTGAAGGAGTGGCTTAAGCTGGCTCTGAGCCTAGCTGTGTCGTGGTGGGAAGTGCTGAGCAACACTGCTGTGGTTCCAGGAGCTGAGATCCCACCTGAGCTGGCTCTTGGGTCCAACAGAGAAAGAGGCTGCATACACTGGAGGCTTCATAGACTGAAAATCACCAGTAACTACCATTTAGAATAATAATATCTGAAAGCTTTGCTGAGATGCAGTAACCTCACCATCACTTGGCCTTTAAATGAAGGTTATGCACTTGTCAGGAAAAGATGCTTGGGCTCGGTCAGCATCCGTGGGGCTGCTGGAGATAGTCCAGTGTAAGAGTCTGGTGCTCAAACCAGCACCAATCTCTTCTGGTCTCTAAAAGTCTGCTCTAGGCTGAAGGCACAACCTGTAATATCCTTCTTGGTCCAATTTTTCCCATTTTGTGTCTTCTCTCGGTGGCTGAGTGGCACCAGTTGGTGCTGGCTGGACACCTCTTGCCATGTTAAACTGGCCTGAATTTCATTTCCGTTCGCTTATGGGAGTAATGGTAGTCTTTGCCCGTCTTCCAGTTTATGCCATCGGCATAGCTCACGTGAACACCCGGCCAGTACATCCCGTTCAGGTTGGAGTAATGGCAGTCGTTGTACCACCACGCTCCCTTGTACTCTGTGGCACAGTTAAAGGAGCTCATGTCGTTGTCCTGGTCTGTCGTTGAAAATGGCATGTCCTTGTGGTACGATAAGGAGTCTCCTGCAGAGAGTACATGCTCACAGTTACTGCAGCAGAGAGCACAACAGGTACCCTAAGGTGTCTGTGCACCGCTGCCGGGCACCAGGGCACCTTGCTGGGTGCGAGGCAGATTTTATGAATTCTCCTCTTCTCTTAGCTGCTCGGCTTTCCGCCTTGCTCCTGGAAAGCAGGAGTGCCCTGAGCTCTGCTAGGACTGCTAAAACACATGGAGAACTTATCCATGCCTGTGAATCAAACGGGCCAGGCTCTCCTCACAGTTACAGGGGTGTCAGTTCTCTCGCACCGCTCAGATTCTCTGCAGACACACTGAGGTCAGGGCTATCAGACAGCTGCACAGAGCCCCATAAACCCAGAGCACTACTACCTCAGGCGTCGCTTTCACTCATTCCTGTGTGAGGGGTATTAAATTCTGCAGAGGATTTGGTTGCTTCTTAAAGAAAAACGAAACATCAGGCACTAAGAGGATGCAGTGCTGATGCTGCAAGTATTGAACAGCACCCCAGGCCTGGAAGTGCCAGAACTCGTGGGCAAGTATTTCTTTCCAATGTAGCTGAAAGCAGAATGTGGCCCAGCTGCTGCAAAGCTGTTGGGAAGGTTAAGCTGGATGAGGTGCTGCTCAAGACCAGGCTCCACTTTTGCTGCTAAACCACACGGCTGGGCTTGTAGGTAATGCTCTGGGTCACACTTCTGCAGGTGATGGGTGTCCTTGTCCTTTCCTACACTCAAAGGCCACTTGGCACCCGGGGTAACAGGGCCAGTTTTAAAAAAATTGGATGTAGACGGTGCAAGGAGTTTGTGTCCCATAGCTCTGTGCTATAAATGCTGGACACTTCTGAAATGCTCTAGAAAACATCCTTTCCCAGTGAGCTGCTGCTAACTTACCGGCATTTCCACCAAGGAAGTCTCCTAGAACCAGTTTGTATTTCTCAGACTCTCCTAAAACTCGGAATGAAGCGTACTTGGCAAAATAGTAGTTGTTTTCAAAGTCTCTCAGGTCAACACGGAGTTCACAGGGCCCTAGAAGAGAGGGCAGGCAGCGGTGGTGCAGGGCTGATGGTGAGAGCACACGTGGATTTCAGGGTGGAGGGTTTGAGGAGCCCTGAGCTGACTTGAGAGGAGCTTCCAGTACTTGAGAGTTTATGATTTATTTGAAGTTCCTGCAGAGCCTTTGATAGCCTTCTTGTGAAGCCCCTTTTCTGATCTGTTGTTGGGTGGCCATGGGCACTGAGAGCTAGACCCCCAGGAGTCCTGAATGCAGCTGTTTCTCCCAGGCTGGGTGTGAACATGCCGATTGTCACCACAACCAGTGCTAGCAGGAGGTCTTGGCCTGTCTCCAGGACAGGTCATGCAGCCAGTTCAGTCTCTTTTGTTAGAGGGCAATCTCCTGTGTGCAGTGGGCTGCAAGAACCTGCGTGCTGTTTAGGGTTATTGGTTGGGGCCTCAGGTGGGTTCAGAGAGTTCAGCGTCCCTTCCTGACCGAGTGTGGCACACGAGCTGGACTCTCAGCCCGGGACGGAGGCAGAACTTACCCAGCGAGGTGAGGAAGTGGATGTTGTCATTCCCCAGCCAGAACTCCGTCAGCTGGTTGCCAAAGCCTCGTTTGTATGAAACCCAGTCTCGCAAGAAGTTCACTGACCCATCCCAGCGCCTCTGGAAAACCTGCAGGAAAGGAAAGCCTCAGCCACCCCGGGCCACCCCCACCCCAAAAGCATCCGCAGCGCCCCGATGGCACAGCCTCCCTGCGTCAGGACACTCCTGTGGGCCTCCAGGGACCGAACCCCAGGGGAATCACTCGCTCACAGATCTCCTCCAGCTGCCCGTGGAAAAAATGAGGAAATAATTTGCCGATTTAAGCAGGAATTTGGTCTGTGGTGCTCAGCCTGCTCCCAGAGACATCTCCCAGAGGAATCCCCTGCATCCACAGCAACCCACCCAGGCTTGCTGATAGGAACCTCAGCTGTCCCCACAGTGTATGTTTTCCTCCCTTTTTGTTTCTATTTTGGTGCCATCCTTTGCAGTCTTAATAAAAATCACCGTAGGGACAGAAACCTCCCTCTTCTCCTCCCACTCACGATCCATCCTCCTCCATCTGTGTCCATGTCACAGAAGACGGTGGTGGCGTTGCAGCCCTGGGGGTAGATGGTGTACCAGCCGCTCAGGATCTTCCCTTTACCCAACAGCTCTTGGCAGTTCCTGGCTTCTGTGCCAATCAGGGGAAGAGATGGA